CGGGGAACACTTTAATTGGCAGCTTGCGGTGGAGGTCCAGCAGGGGTCACTCTGATCCTGAGCCGGCGGGGAAAACTAGGATCCAGAGGTTGCTATTCGGATCCGGCGAGGAACAGTGCGATCTAGAGCTGCAGTTGAGGTCCGGCAAAGAGCGGAGGAAAGAAATTGGAATGAGGAAGGATGAAGAAAGGATGACGCCCGCTGTGGTGCGGACAGGCGCTGTCCGCAACATGTTTTTCAATGTTGCTCAATGCCCCACAAGAAAGCACCTTACAAATGCCATATGACATATCTTGTGACATTCTTTTTGGCATATTTACCTGGCATATCTTTTGACATTATTTCTTTCTGGCATTCTATATCGTATATCTTCGCGGATTTGTTTGTGATTGAGGTCCGGCGGAGAACACTCTGATCGGCAGCTTGCGGCGGAGGTCTGGCGGGGAGGAAAACTAGGATCCAGAAATGCGATCTAGAGTCTAGAGCTTGCTGTTGAGGTCCGGCGAGGAGCGGAGGAAGGAAGAAGGAAGGATGAAGGAGGAAGGAAGGAGGATGCCGACAGGCTGACATAAAATCTAAACATCTGTGGTGCGGACAGGCGCTGTCCGCAAAATGGTGTTCAATGTTATCCCCCACGCCTGCTGCCAAGCGGTTCTGACACGAGCTTTGGAAGTTCGGGTTGAGTTCCCTTGTCGTAGAAGCAAATCGTGCAGAGTCTTGGATAAATCTTCTTTCGATATAACCTTCCTATCGCCAAGACTCACAGTTGCTGCTGTGAACAGCCTTCCCAACGCTCTTTCCGCAAGCAACGACAACGACATTGCAAATGCTCTGGAAAAAGTATAACAAAACAATATGTTGTTGGAATGTTGGAAATTCCTGTTGACATAAAACAAACGTGACGGAAAAAAAAACTATTCTCCGAACATCTTCCAAACAAACGTAAAAATGTCTTTGAATCCTGATTTAACAATGAAATTATGCCATCCACATCCAGTACAACATTGCACTCGGGCCATGCAGAAAAAACACATCACAATCACTTTGGAAGCAACATGTTTAATGTCTGTGTCATTGTTTTCTCGCGAGCATTGGAAACAACATGATCAAATTGTGTGTGCACAAAACAAAAAACATGTTTGTTTTCTTGCGAGCATTGAAAACTACATTCCTGGATTTCTTGTATCCAAAACAATCATCAAATATGTTCTCTTGCGAGCATTGAAAACAACATGCCTGGTTTTCCTATATTCAGACCAAAAATCAGGTCTGTTTTCTTGCGAGCATTGAAAACAACATGCCTGGATTTCTTGTATCCAGACCAAAAATCAGGTCTGTTTTCTTGCGAGCAGTGAAAACAACATGCCTGGATTTCTTGTATCCAGACCAAAAATCAGGTCTGTTTTTTTGCGAGCAGTGAAAACAACATGCCTGGATTTCTTGTATCCAGACCAAAAATCAGGTCTGTTTTTTTGCGAACATTGGAAACGACATGCCTGGATTTCTTGTATCCAGATCAAAAATCAGGTCTGTTTTCTTGCGAGCATTGGAAACAATATGCTCGGTCTCTTTGTATCCAAAACAAAAACCAGGTCTGTTTTTTTGCGAACATTGGAAACGACATGCCTGGATTTCTTGTATCCAGATCAAAAATCAGGTCTGTTTTCTTGCGAGCATTGGAAACGATATGCTCGGTCTCTTTGTATCCAAAACAAAAACCAGGTGTGTTTTCTTGCGAGCACTGCAAAAAATGTTTGGATATTTGCACGCAAAAACAAAAATCACGTGCATTTTTTTAACCAAAACCAAAAATACATCATATTTTTCCAATGACAGTTCTCCGCGGACGGGTTCCTTTACAACCGCTACATGCTTTCTTGGATTCCAAAACCACAAACATACCTACCGCGGACGGTCTACCATCATGATCCCGTCCACGCTGACCCCAAGGACCACTTATTGCTACCACTGGACCTTATTAGTGTAAAAGCATCTGTGTGTAAAAGCGTCTGTGTGTAAAAGCGTCTGTGTGTAAAAGCGCCTGTGTGCAAAAGCGTCTGTGTGTCAAAAGCGTCTGTGTGCAAAAGCGTGTGTGTGCAAAAGCGTGTGTGTGTAAAAGCCTCTGTGTGTAAAAGCGTTTGTGTGTAAAAGCGTCTGTGTGTAAAAGCGTCTGTGTGTAAAAGCTTCTGTGTGTAAAAGCGTCTGTGTGTAAAACCCTCTGTGTGTAAAAGCGTCTGTGTGTAAAAGTGTTTGTGTGTAAAAGCGTCTGTGTGTAAAAGCTTCTGGGTGTAAAGCGTCTGTGTGTAAAAGCGTCTGTGTGTAAAAGCGTCTGTGTGTAAAAGCGTCTGTGTGTCTGTGTGTAAAAGCGTCTGTGTGTAAAAGCGTCTGTGTGTAAAAGCCTCTGTGTGTTAAAGCTTCTGTGTGTAAAAGCCTCTGTGTGTGAAAGTGTTGTGTGTAAAAGTCGTCTGTGTGTAAAAGCGTCTGTGTGTAAAAGCGTCTGTGTGTAAAAGCGCTTGTGTGTAAAAGCGTCTGTGTGTAAAAGTCTCTGTGTGTAAAAGCGTCTGTGTGTAAAAGAGCCTGTGTGTAAAAAGCGTCTGTGTGTAAAAGCGTGTGTAAAAGCGTCTGTGTGTAAAAGCGTCTGTGTGTAAAAGCGTCTGTGTGTAAAAGCTTCTGTGTGTAAAAGCGTCTGTGTATGTAAAAGTCTCTGTGTGTAAAAGTGTTTGGGTGTAAAAGTCTCTGTATGCAAAATCGTCTGTGTGTAAAAGCGTCTGTGTGTAAAAGTCTCTGTGTGCAAAAGCGTCTGTCTGTAAAAAGTTCTGTGTATGAAAAACTTTACAAAAATACGATGCAAACTATTGTCTTGTACTAGTCATATATTGTCTTGATACTACTCTTCTCGTCTGCCTATAATATATCTTTATCATATTATCTTGTAATATAGTGTCTCCATACTAACAACAGAAGACTCTGCTCCTCTACGCTCTCGGGCCATCCGTCGTCTAGTTTTTTTTTTGGGGGGGGGGCATTTTTGGCCAAAATGGCCTGGAATGCGATAGTATATATATATATATTATGTGAAACTACAGACGTCTCACGCGAAAACTCCATCTTCCCCATTCCAGAAAACGTGATTCCAGGCGATTTTAGCAAAAAAAAACGAAAAAAAAATGCAAAAAGAAAAACAACGTAAAAAAAAAGAAAATCACCGAGTACGAAGATTTTGTGGAGTGCGAGGATCTTGCAGAGCGCGTGGATTTTACAGTATGTGTACGTCCCTAGCTGTGGAGTGCGATGCCCTCGCTGGAGTGCGAAGAATTTGTGGAATGCGAAGAATTCCGAGTATGCGTGGCTGGTATAGAGACCACATAGGGAAATTTCGGGGCCAGAACCAAAATTCCAATCCCAAAGCCAGCCCAAACTTCCAGGGGCACACCAGCGATTCTATTTTTCCGAGTTCACCTTGGGTGAGGTCCCGGGGAAGAAACTTGCTAATTTTTACTCAGCCAACCTTTAAAAGCGTTACCTTTGACAACCCTGTCCTTCTTCGGTAGACAAATGAGGAAACTTCCTTATCAAAGCAGCCTTCAATTCATTCAACGTCCACAGCTTTGGAACGACATAGGGGATAGAAAGCTGTGGAGGGGCATTCAGTGGATTCGCCGTGGCCCAACTGTTCCCTCCAGATTGAGCTGAAATGCCTATCAAAGTAACATACCAAAACCCAGGTCTGGAGTACGATGAAAACATGGTATGCGAAGATTTTCTGAATATGGGAATGTTGCCTCTAGAATTACGGGTAATCCAACCAATGTCTACCATGATCACAACACTTAAACGGCTATAAACAACGTTGATGTGAACGCAAGTACCGACCATATTTACTTGGTCATGAGTCAAATAAACTGGGCACCCCTGACATTGGTTGGCTACAAATAAAATATGGGGGGTTCCCAAAATGGGTGTTTAAATGGATGTTTAACCATGGAACATCCTATTAAATGAATGATTTCGGGGTATCCCCCATTTTCGGAAACCTTCTGTTGGATTTGAACGCACCGAGTCGAAGTGCAGCCCCGGTGGGTTTTGTTGTTGCTTTATTGCAGTAACCTGTTACGTTTGCAGCAGATAGATCTTGAATGGCTCTGCAAACCAACTTACAACTGGAGGGTCCACTTTCTAGAGGTGGGTATGGGTCAAAATTGGGTACCTCAATAATTGGATGGTTAATCCTAAAAATTGACTTAAATCTGCGGTCCCCTAAGTCTGAAATTTCAAGCCATACCCACGTTGTTTTAGACTGGCTGGACAGCCAACTTCATGCCCAACTGGCCCTTGCTTCAATGGCGGGATCTGATGATCCTTGACACCGTGTTCTTCGGCAAGGCCATGTTTTCCACTATGTCGGGATTGACTTGAGGCAAGTTCTTCAAGCACCACCTATGATTGCGTTTGTGGAAAGGGTCTAGCACCAAGGCAGTATCTGCAAAGGGGCTAGACCAGGGAGGCCATGTAGCGTCGTCATATATAGTCAATGGTGGCAATGGCCACTCCGCGATCCTTCAATCTGCTCATTCCTTCACGTCTTAAAGAAGTCAGCCAGCAGCCCGCAAAACAATACTGCAGTCAAGATCCTACCCGTTGTTCCTATCAGTGGGGTTATCATTCCATAAATGGAGGTTACCTACCCCCAAATCATCCATTCTAATAGGAGTTTCCATTATAAACAAATCAGCTATTGGGGAACCCCCATGACTTAGGAACCCCCCAAAAGGATCCAAAAGGGGTGACTTACTGACATCCATAAGTGGTATTCAGGGCTGTGGATGATGGCAACCCCTGAGCTATTTCATCTGTACAAACCCCAATGAATCAAGCCAGTCTCATGAAAATACTCCGGGGTTGACGCTATTGCTGCTTATATAATCATTCCTATACTGATTAAGCTGGGTGAGCAGGCATGGTCCCCTTCTACAGGCAGGCCAAACAATCTCGCCATGGGCCTCGTAGTCTTGTTCCAGATTTCGCTCCTCAGCCCGAACAAAACCACACGTTTTGGTCGGATGGAGAAGTGGGATGAGCAAACAATCCAAGACAACCAAGCAAATACAGGGTTTTTGTTGGCTCACAACAAAGTTCAAGTTTGAATTCAATTCGGATCATAACCTGCGGTTATGGCGGGGTTCTTTGCGAGGAGTGACTTAAAAAAATGCGTGTTGACATGGTCTGGGTAAACCCCAAGGCCGGTCGACCAGTGAAATCCCCTGGTCGACCAGTAGATAATCCCTTTATCCCTTCTCCTTTTATAGACATTCTCCCAGAAACCTGTGGAATGCGGAGTGTCTAAGATCAAACATCAATTTTGTGAGGCTGATTGTACTATGCTTTGGGTCGCGGTAACAGCCAATATATCAACCATACGAAGAATAACATAATGAAAATGACGACCAATGAATAATAAACAGCAGTTACACCGATAAACATATGTAATAAATACACGTCGAAGAAGGGAATTACTCACGTAGATCATAAAAGTAATACCCTATAGAAAAAACATGTGTATATATATATATATATATTAAAGCGAAGAAGCAAACAATCTTTTTTATGGTGTTAATGTACAACATATGATCAATATGTTAATATGTTCAATATGTATTTAATCTCTATTGATCAACCAACATGAAGACGGAAAAAATACATACATGATGTATGTGCACTTCAACACAAATGCCTAGTCATAATGATGCGCACATTAATAGTTTGTAATATTTAGTATAGCAAATGGAGCTATTCTATATATATATATATACTGTATATGTAAAACATTGTAAAACAAAGCAGCACGATATTATAAATGCATACGTCTATATACCGTCGGGTATCAAACATGGGAATGGATAATCCAGTGTTTATAATTACATGATGTTTTTCCATAACCACTCTTTTTTTTAGAACTTGTTGATTGCCATATTTGATTACCGGAGGGTATGTTAAAACAATTTCAAACATCCTCCCATCCAAGTCATTCCGCTTTCAAGGCACGTGAGGCTTGTGATACCGTCCTCGGGTATTGATCTGACCCATCAGAAGACTGGCGCGATCGCTGGCACTCTGCAGATCGACCTTCCGTAGCCGACCCGGGGCCCGGTGGGGTGATCCTGGAAGTTTACATGTTATCTGGGATGTATTTACATGTATACATATGTATATATATATAATTAGAATTAAATATAAATATAAATATATTTATATATCTATATACATATAAATAAATAAATAAATATATATATATATATATATGTAAGTATGTATGTGTGTGTATATATATATGTAAGTATGTATATATATATATGTATACGCCTGGAGGCCAAATGACCATTGTATCCTCAATATCAATGCGACCCCACTATTTCTCAGGATATCCGACTCTTTGTTGCTGGTTCCTGTTCTGCTTCCCATCATGGTATTATACCAGCCATTGTCATTGTTTGACGCAAATGGGGTGAGTAGGGGAATGGTCCCCTTCTACAGCCTTGTTTACATCTCACCTGCATGGTAATAATGCTTCAAATAAAAAATGATAATAATATATCCATATACTTATACTATATATATATAATACTGTATATATATATATATACTCTTAATTATGATATATATATACATGTATTATTGTATGTATATATATATATATTAAATATGTATATTTATATGTATATATATATTAAACGTGTATGTATGCAATTGTATGCATGTGTATATATGTATGTATGTGTGTGTACCCCCAAATCATCCTATTTAAAAGGATGTTCCATTAAAAAAAAAACATAATGTGGTGTACCCCTATTTGTCATAGCTATGCATGGAGCACCGGCCACACCACACCTTTTCCTCCTCCAGCGGCTCTTCTAAGTTCGTCATGGCGTCGCGGCAAAGCGGCGAGCGAATGTTTCGAGGGCGAGCGGAGCCCCCAAGATTTCGTAGATTTACAAGGGACTTGGAGCAGCAAAAGTTCAAGGTTTTATCAAAATCCTGGATTTAGGTATATTTTTGTTGATACCTAATTACATTGGTTTACCAAGTAGGTTTACTTTGGTTTACGCATAGATATTTTGAATTAGCTAGTTGGGCGTATATACAGACCTTATTGGAGGGGTCACATTGTAGGCTTTGAAATGTCCCATTGAAACATCAAAAAACCTTTGGGAATATCATATGGTACTGATAGCCTTGTTTGAAAGCCTCAAAATGAATGTACTTGCTTGCAACTCCTGAAGTTTGCTAGGTCCGCTGTGTAATCGTGTAACCACACAAATATCACATTAGAGGATCGGGGATGTCGCCCACCAATCTTCTCTGAAAAAATTGGGATCATCGTCCCAAATACGGTCGACATAGCCAGCCATGATATTCCCACTATCTATCACCATGTTTCCGAGTGAAATCCCTGATGTTTGATGTCAAATCCCCCGATTTGTTTCACACCCCTCTTCTTTCAGTGCAGCCTGCCATGCCAAATGTTTGACAGCGCTTGACTCTGGGCAGATTGAACTGATTGAACTAGTGCTTTTTGATGCTAGTGGCACCATAGCAGTGATTTCAGTGAAGCGTGGCCCAGATAGGTTTCTGTTGCTTTGACCACAACAAGTGTTGGATGTGGGGATATGTCTACAGTTAAAAGTGTTAAACAATTTTATAAGCCAACATATATATATATATTTAAATATATGCATATATATATATATATTATACATATATATATATATACCTGGCGACCTGGTGGGATCCACATTTGCCATGAGTTTTCGCATGGATCGTTGGACCCCAGTTGTGGTTCCAGTGGTGGCTTGAAATTTTCGGTGTGTCCAAGTCGGGGGATGCCACCAACGTCACGTCTGCCAAACTTCACGTCGGGGGATGCCCGAGTTTAACACAGTGTCTATTTGTTTATTTACTTCGCTGGTGAAGACTATATATCTATCTGTATATATATATATATATGTGGTTAATATGTGGTTAATATGTGGTTAATATGTGGTTAATATACTGTTAATAATCATGGGGCTGCTGTGTGCCCCCCCCAGTTGCACCCCCCCCCAGAAAAATAAGAACATAGACGGGATGCAACAAGCAGTGAAGGTTAATAAGCCCTTAGTATCAGGTTATTAACCAGCTAATAGACCTCTATTTGTTGGGAAACAAAACAAGTTATTAACCAGCTATCGACAGCTTATTAACAGAGATTTTGCCATTTGGAACTGCGCATTTTATCGGTTTCCCTTTGAAATCAGTAATAGATGGCTATTAAGGATTTCAGGTGGGCAATGAGTTTGTGGTGCTGTCAAAATAATGCCACCTTCCACGAGTTGCTTGAAACCACTAATAGATTGTTATTAAATATTTTTGGTGGGAAATTATTTTTGGAAGCGACCCCAATACCTCCACTTCCCACGAGCTGCTTGAAACCACTCATAGATGGTTATTGAGGTTTTGAGATGGGCAATGTCATAATTTTGCAGGGTGGAAAAATCAGCTTCCAGCAAATGATAAATGCTGGCCAGCATTCATATTCCTTTATTGTGAGAAGCATTGTGGCAAGGCCGTGAGGCCCGTCTTCCGAATACATTTCCCAAAGCAACCCTAAACGTTTGTGGTGACAACTACCCAAAGCAGAATCCCTTAATAACCAGCTAATAAGAAAGCATATGCCCATGGCTGTTTACGCACTGCGATTCCAACGCTCGAGCTCCAAAACGGAACTGAAACCCTTAATAAACAGCTAATAAGAAAACACCTGCCCTTGAGTGTTTGCGCGCTGTATTTCCAACGCGCGAGCTCCAAAATGGAAGAGAAACCTTTAATAACCATCTAATATCAAAACCACATGCTTGTGATTATTTGCGCGCCTTGTCTTCAGTGCGCGCCTCCAAACCGGAACCAAAAAACTTAATAACCTGCTATTAATTTTTGGTGCCACCTTGCAATCCGGGGGGGGATGCAGCTGGGGGGGGCACACAGCAGCCCCATGAAATAATGGTTAATGATGATGGTTATTATGTGGTTAATGATGGTTAATGACTTATAACTGGTTGGTGGTTTCAACTAACCCTCAGAAAAATATGAGTAAGTCACTTGGGATTGTTGTTCCCAATATATCGAAAAAATAATCCAAATGTTCCAAACCACCAACCGGCTATTGTAGGATAATGATCAACCGTTCCATGAACATAAATATGAAACCCTACAAGCCAAAACAAATCCAGCTGTCGGTTGGCTTCGTTATCTGATTCTCATCCCGCACAAAAACATACCAAGCTTGAACCCACAATTTTGTGTCAATGTTTGTTTCAGATATAAGTTGGCTATTATATGTTAATTATATATATTATATATATAGGATACTATATATGATAAACAATATAATATAAATATATATATATAATTATATATATATATATTTCATACATCTATCTCATACTTATATCATTATATCCATCATCTTCCAATTGCCTATCAGATAAGTAACTAACCCCCAATTCATCATGTTTGATAAGGTCAAACTGGTTATCTCAAAGGCAACTGGAAAGTTTAGGGCATATGGATCCTACATTGCTATGCGACTACCCTGAGAACCAGCTTCCCCAACGTGAAATTGTTTGATAATCAGATCCAAGGTTGGGATTTCATGCAGTGTCAAAAGCCTATCATGTATGTTTCGAAATAAAGGTTGGTGTAAAGGGATTACATGATTACCAGCTCATAGATCTTAGATCATGATAATCCCCAGGAACTTGGGTAGTTGAAGCCCCTGTAAAATCCTCAAACTGCTTCTTTTGAAACTGCTTTTGCAAGCCTTAGGTTGGGTCCTGTATTCAGAGTTCACCCCCTGTTTTTCTCCAGTGCCAAACAGCCTACGATTTCATCGTGAAGTTTCCATATTTCCTAGCATTTTGAATCTTTTACACTTCATTTCGCTCATTGAAAACACCTTCTGGGAACTGATCAAATACAAGCCTCTCGGTGACTTGAAACCCCAAAAAACCCTTTGATTGATTGCCTTTGATGAACACCCTGTGAATTTTGGTGAATTTTATTTTAATCATATTTTGCAACACAACATTTGCCCGGTCAATTGCATTGGTCAATGACCCTGCGCGAATTCTACTCAGTTGATCGCATGTCCAAAAAATTAGAAAGGGGATCAAGTGGTATGCCTTCTGGTAATCACACGCGGCTTGCTGGAAAATAGAAAAACCATTTAGTTCGATGATTTTCCCAACACCTCCATGTCTTCGGGGAAATGATCCATGGATTTTCCCATATTTTCCCAATTTTTACAGGGGACGTCCCAGCTCCCCATGGATTTGTTCATCACCCCGGAGGGCACCTCCCCTGCCGCATTTTCTGGGCTCACGGGCACGATGCGCTTCACCATGGGAGGCACCAGTTCATCACGGATCAGCTTGCGGGTGCCGACCTTGGAAGTATGGCCATGTGCAAACCAAAAGAAACACAAGTAGCCGTATAATATATGTATTGTATATATATATACATATAATTGTAATTGTATATATCATTGTATATATATATAATAATATTGTATACATATATATAATCATGTATATGTATATACATCATATATGTATCATCTTCACGTTGTCACAGAGGTCACCTCCAAGTCATGTTTGATAAAATCAAGATGGTCTCGGAACTGGAAGCTATGCCGCGATGAAGAGGACCTAGTAGGACTGTTTGGTTTTCAACTGGCCAGGTTATCATACTCATCATACTCCACATAATTACATCCAAATACTTCCTGAGAAAGTACTTCTGGATCCAGAAGATATCTAATGTAAACATGTAAAATAAACATATAAACTAGAATATACCTTGTGTATCCTTAAAAGTGGCAAACAAACAACAAGCTAAACAAACAGCTGGAGGCCTCGAAGGAGGCGTCCAGCCGAATCAAATTAAGATAAGCCAGATAGGGTCTTTCCATCACTTTCCCCAAAAAAAGGGATCCAGGAGTAAAACAATTCTTGGAACCCTCTCTGGACATAGAATATCTAATGGTACCTAGACGATAGAAACGGCCCACGTCAGCCACATGGCCAAATTCTTGGAGATCTTGGTCAAATCCGCACAAATGGCACCTGCTGTGTGGCAGGCCCTTGAGGCAAATGGCGCTACTTTTGGCAAGAAAACGTGGCACTGTTCCAAGCCCCGCAAGAGGTTACAGTATTATAAATTATAGTAAGCACCAAGATTTGACCACTGAGTTCATAAGAAAACACGCCTTTTGAGTCGCATATGATATTAAGCCATCAAAAGAAAAGAACATGTAACCCCAAGCCATGCACGGATGTGGAACTCCCAGAGTGCTTCCACTGACATGTGAAATATGTGAGATCCTCCCAGGGTCTCTGTATGCTTGCGGCCTTTTTTTGCAAAGACACGCAAATCCGCCAAGTTGTATTATATTCACATGGACTGGATGATGAGAGCTGGATATGCAAAACATGACTATATATACAGTACATTTTCAAAAATATGGATGGAACCCAGAAGAGTCGAGTATGTTGCCTGCAAGAGAATCATTGAACTCAAACCCATTTGGGGGGGTACCCCAAATCATCCAAAATTGGACAATTTTAGTATTGAAACCCATGGTTTTGGGGGTTTTCCCATTTTAGGAAACCTCATGAAACCTCAATTTGTCCGGGATACCCTCTGGTAAACAAACAGTTCGCTATTGAAAATTGCCATTGATAGTTGATTTTCCCATTAAACATGGTGATTTTCCTTAGTTATGTAAACGTTTACCTTAAAGGTTACATGTGAGAAACTTCCGAAGTCCTCAAAAAAACTCACTTCCTCCAGTTGCCAAATATCCGGCCTGCCAAATATCCATCCACGTTGTTCACGAAGATCCGCATGGTGAGTCAACTCGTTTCTGTATCGGACAGTTTCTGC